ATGCATGAAGCTTATACTTTCCTTCCTTCAACTTAACAACTGATTCTCCAGCAGGTTTTCAGAGGCTATAAATTGCACAGGAGGAGTTTGTCCATCTTTCTCCCAAGCAGAAGCTGGTGGCATTGAACCATCCACCTTAGGGCTGGCAGTGTAACTCCTGATCCATTATGCCACTAGAGCTTTTTCCTTCCCTACTATATCCATTTTCTGAGGCTAACCTAACAAAGGGACACAAAGTGTGTGGTCTAAACCAACAGCAATTCGTCCCCTTGTATTCTGGGGCTGGAGGTCTGCATTCGTTGCACCAGCAGAGCCATGCTCTCTCTGAAGGTCCTTGGCAAAGTCCTTTCCTGTCTCATCAGCTCTGCTCGCTCCAGGTGCACTTCTGCTCGCTCCAGGTACACTTCGGCTGTGGCCACGTCATTTGTGTCTCTGCCTCCATCTTCACATGATCTGTTCTAAGTGTCTTCTGAAGTTTCTTTTAAGGACATTTGTCATTGGATTTTGGACCAAACTGATAATTCAGGATGATATCTTCATCTCTATATCCCTTTGTTAATCACATCAGTGGAGAGTGTTCTTCCAGATAAAACCATACTTCCAGGTTCTGGAGACGTGCTGTCGATGTACCTTTGGGAACCAGTTGCCCTGGCTGTTACATTTCCCCTTACACTTGTCCCCAATTGTCCCTGATCGCCTGCTGAATGTTTCCTTAGTTATTCTGCCTATTTTCCCTATCCTTTAGTAAATGTGGATTCCAGCAGAGCTGAGATTCTTTTACTGTTTGGTCCAACTTTGTTCCTCAAGTACCTAGATTAGTGCCTGGCACAGAGTAGGCACTTGAATGACAAAGCTTTGTCTCACATGTTTTGGTCATGTTGATGTTAGGTGCCATCAAGTAGAGTATGACTCATTGCACCCCTATGAACAATGTATCGGAACCCTGGACTATCCTGTGCCTTCCTCACAAAGTCTGGCACGGTAAAGCCCATTTCTGTAGTCCCTGTATCAATCTACCTGGTTGAAGGTCTTCCTCTCCTTCGCTGTTCTTCCACCTTCCCAAGCATGATGTCCCTCTCCAAGGAATAACCTCTTCTAGCAACATACCTAAAGTATGTGAGACAAAGCTTTATCGTCTTTGCCTCTAAGGAGCACTCTGACTGCACTTTCTCCAAGATATATCTATTCTTCTGGCAGCCCATGGGATGTTCAGTATTCTTTTCCAGCATCACCGTTCAAAGGCACCAATCTTATCCTTATTCATGTCCAGTTCTCAGGTGCATAGTAAGTGACTGAAAAAACCATGGCCTTTATCAGGTGTACCTTTGTCCTCATAATGACATCATTGCTCCCCAATAATTTTGATAGGTCCCTGACTACAGACTTTCCCAGTGCAATATGTCTCCTGATCTCCTGACTGTTGGTACTAAGTGTATTGGTTGTGGGTCCAAGTAAGATGAAGTCATTGAAAGTCTCAATATTTTTCTCATTTATCAGGATGTTGCCTATTGGTTCAGTAGCAGGGATTTTTTTCTTTATAAAAATTTGAAGAAAATTAAAACAGGCCCATGAGAAGCAAAATGACTCTGTGTATATCTCAGTTGAATTTAAAAATCATCTTAAGAATAGATTTGAAGGATTGAACACCAATGATGGAAGAACAGATGAATTGTAGGATGATATTAAGGATATCAGCCATGAAGAAAGCAAAAGGTCACTAAAAATACAGAGGAGAATGAAAAAACCAAAAGAGATGTCAGACTAGACTGAAAATCACACTAGAGCATTGAGGAGTCAAACAAAAGGAAGAAATGTTGAAATAAAAATGCTGAAGATACGATTTCAAAAAGCAGCTCAGAAAGGCAAGGCAAATT